TCCGACTCTAGGGTTGCGGTGCTCATCTCCGTTTCAAAGCCGAAGAGCCAGCGCTGTCCGAAGACGTTTCCGTGGTCATGTGGCCGGCATGACTAAACACCAAGGCGCACGGAACGCTGTTACCTTCCCACTGAAGTGGTACCTATTTATCTAATTGCAATTTCTTGCTTTCGAACTGCTAGGTTGGCAGGATCCCATGAGTGTACAGAAACACATATCTTAGCTCTTTGTGTGTTATCCTCCCTTAAAAATTTTTTGATCTGCATAGATGAGATCATGCTGGGCGGTTTAGATAGATGACCGACTACTTCCGGTGACATTGCAAATGACACCGCTCCCCTCCCCCTTTCATGCCCATAACATTTACAACAACGACATCATCATCATCATCAAACTATTTTAAAAGCTGGATCATGTATGGCTTTTAGAACAAAGCAAACTGTGCCTAATGTCAGCAAATGTCATGCCTAAGTAACGTCATGTCCTGCCTTTTTGAGAAACACCCTTATTTCCTTTTCCCTCTTTAAGAACTCACTTATTTGGTGGCTGCAACCTTCCGGCTCTCCAGCATAATAAGAATGACTCTTTCTGTAGCTTTTTAGAATGTTCAAAGCGTTTCACACACATTCTCAATAATATGTAAAGCAGCCAAATCACTGCAGACGTATTGAGGTGTGTGTGTGGGGGGACACTTTGTCTTTAAGAGTCACCAGAGAGTCCCTAACTGAAGCAAGAGCTGGCTAGGGAGGCTTCCTGGTTTACTTTCTAGTCTCCCAAAGCCGTGATGTTCCCCTGGGTGCAGGGGTGGCCAAACTTGCTTAACATAAGAGCCACACGGAATAAACATCAGATGTTTGAGAGCCGCATGACACGAACAAATATTACAGATATGTTTTTTATTGAAAAATATGCAGATTTGCTTTTTATGAATATTAAATGAGACTGCCGAAAATAAACACAAAAGGGGTAACATTGATAATGATATTTATTTGTCCAATTATATCTGTAGGCTGGGGGGGGGGCTTTGATAATGCATTTAAAGTTAATGTTGCCTTCTTTCTCTGCTCCCCCCCCCCAAGCCTACCCAGGAAGGGGAGCAGTGGCCGGGAAGGGGGAGACTGATTGGGGAAGGGCCCGCCTCCCCTTTACTTCCTCAGCTGCCCTGCCGGGAGCCACACAGTATGTGTGAAAGAGCCGCATGTTGCTCCCGAGCCACAGGTTGGCCACCCCTGCCCTGACAGCTTTAGAAGGTGGACTCTGTGGAATCACGCAGAGCCTGAGCTCCCCCTCTTCCCCTAGTTCTGCCCCTCAGAGGAGCTGCCCCCAAATCTCCAAGACTTTCCCAAACCAGTCGTGGCATCCCTACTCCACCCTCATGTTTAGAATAAATGTTTCTGTGAAGTCTGTTTTACAGACTGTTTTACAACAGCACCATGCGAAGAGTGAGATGGATCTTATTTCAGCTGGGAGTAGTGAAATGTGGCTGAAGAGGCAGACTCCTCATTAGGGTCTAGTAACTTGGGACCTGGTCCAGCTGGGTAAATTCCCCATCTCTCTGGTAGAATGGAGGTGACCAGGGGGCCTGTTTTACTTCTGTGGCCAAACAGGGCTTCGACTGCCAGGTCCAAGCTTCAGACTTGCACACTCCTTCCTCCCTTTTGAATCCTGATTCTCTCCTTGAGTGCCTGTTCTGCAGCCAGCTCTAATGTGCTATTACATCTAATTTGGCAAACTGTGGTTTACGCTTGCTGTCCAAACTAGAACCAGAGGCCATGGCTGGATTATGGTATCCAGCACAAGCCCTAGTTTGCCAGTTCATTTTGATAACAAACTGTGGTTTGCCACCAGATGGGGGGAGTGTGAGCACATGGCGAAGGTGCATGTGAGTCAAGTTTAACTCTCCTGGCAATACATGGGAATCATATTTCTCTTAAAAAACCCAACTACTTGTGAGTCTGTTCCCCTTCAGCAAGACTTCTTTGAGGACTGGATATTGCACAATTGATGCTGGTCCCACAAGTACTTGGGAAGTGCCCATGGCTTACTGGCAGAGCTTCTGCTTTGGAAGCAGAATGTCCCAGGTTCAGTCCCAGGCATCTCCAATTTTAGAAAGAATCAGGTGATGTGGAAGTCCTCTTCCTGAGGCCTTGGTTGAGCCACTGTGAATTCCAGTAAATAGTACTGACCTTAATAGGCCATATGGTTTGTTTGACTTGCATGAAACTGCCTTCTACGGTGTTCAGTGCTAGAAACTGGGGAGGCGGGGGAGAATTTTGCCATCTGGGAAAGTCCTCCATTTCTAAGTGAGGAGGTAGCAAGATCTCTTGGGGTCAGGAAGCAATTTTTCTCCAGGCCAGATTGGCTGGAGATCCTGGAGGGTTTTTTTATCATCTTCTGGGGGTGGAACAACGGTCACTGTGTGTGTGTGTGGAAGGGGAGGTATTTGTGAATTCCCTGCATTGTGCGGGGGGTTGGACTAGATGACCCTGGAGGTCCCTTCCAGCTCTATGATTCTATGACTTTTGTGCCATCATCTAGGCAGTGGTCTATGGACAGTAGAACACTTTCCCCATCAAAAGGCTCTCTTTCTCTTTCTTTCTTGTAGAATCAAGCACCCCAATATTGTGGCTTTGGATGATATTTACGAGAGTGATGGGCATCTCTACCTCATCATGCAGCTGTGAGTTGCAGAGTGGAGGCTTAGAAGCCTCGGTTTCGGGGATAGAAGAGGGGGAACTACAGTTTGACATACCGTGGATGAGGCTAATCCTGGCCATTCCTACCTGGGGGGCAAGTCTCAGGGCAGAACCAATCTGTGCCTTCTTCCTCATTATAGGGTCTCAGGTGGGGAACTCTTTGACAGGATTGTGGAGAAGGGATTTTATACGGAGCGAGACGCCAGCAAACTCATCCGACAGATCCTTGATGCTGTCAAATACCTGCATGACATGGGCATCGTGCACCGTGACCTCAAGGTGGGTATGTGCAGCTGTTCAGGAACACCTGCTTGGTATAGCCACAGTGGAGTTTAGGTGCACACATATGCAGTTGTGTGCTTGCTGGTTAACTACTTTGCCACGAGTATTGTGTGCTAGAGATCTATTTTGGGAGGGTTGCCTTCAGCGTTTTATTTCCTCCATTGGCTTATGGTTTAAAGAAGCCTTGCTATGTGAGAACTTATTCCTTAGAGCAGGGGTGTCAAACATGCGGCCCGTGGACCAGATCAGGCCCTCAGAAGGCCCCAATCAGACCTGCAAGGCCCTGGCTGTTTCCTACTTCCATTTGCAGTTCTGCTGCTGCTGCCATGTTACAGCTTGCTTTACCAGTCTCTCTCAATCGCACAGGAGAGATTGATAGGCAAGGCTGTCGTGTGCGATTGATAAGAGTCTGGTAAAGAACTGGCTGAGGCTCCTCCCCCTCCTCCTCCCTGTGGGAGGGAGGGAACAGCCAGAGCTCGCTTCCTGGCCAGGCTGCAGGAGACAAAGGGAAGCCTCTCTTTCCTTCAACTGGCTGAGGCTCCTCCCTGAAGGGAGGGAGAGAATGAGGGAGAGTTTGCTTTGCTGGGCTGCCTCAGTCACACGGGAGAAATACCAAGCACCTTTAAGACCAACAAAATTTTGTTCAAGGTATGAGCTTTTGTGTGCCTTGCTACAGTGTGTGTGTGTGTTTTGTTGGGCTCTTTATGCCAGGGCTCTCCTGGGTGCAACTGGGTTCCCTCCCCCTTTTCACTGTATTCATGGCCTCATGATCCAGTCTTTCTTAGTAAGAAAGCAATGTGAACTATTTTAGAGGAGGAATAACAACAAGTCTGTGAGGTGGATTAGACTGAGAGTGTGTGTCCAGACCAAGTTCACCCCCTTTGTAGGAAGTTGTAGTTATTTCTCTGGGGAAGAATATAGCTTTGTAGACAAACACATGGCCCTCAGTCTGTGTTAGGATGCCTTCTCATGTTCTTGACCAGTACATGAAGCAACTTATGTATAATAGGTTGCAATGCCCAGCCATTTCATGTTTTCCTCTTGGGTTCTAGGCTAGGAACACTGAGCATAAGATTTCTGTAATAAATGTCAATAAATCAAAAGTAGGTTTGCAGTTTACAGATACACACCTGAACAGCATACTCAAGATTGCTACAGCACAGACATTCTGTTGAAATAATTCAGAGCAGAGGTGTCAATTATCGGAGAATGTTAAATAGGCAAAAAGAGACAAAATATTGCAAGATTGCTAGTGTTTTAAGCATGGTTTATTTAAAGTTTTAAAAAATCTTTAATAGTGTTTGTCTGTGTCCTTTATAAAGTTTATATCTCCGCTACCTGGCATTACATTTTATGACACACATGGCCTGGCCCAACAAGGTCTCATTTATGTCAGATCTGGCCCTCAAAACAAATGAGTTCGACACCCCTGCTGTAGAGGAACGCTCTACATGTTATTATCCAGTGATTCCCCAATGTAGTGCCTGTGGGCACCATTTGCTTCTTTGTCGAAACAAATAATTGGAATAGGGGATATTTTGGAAATGCCCAGGAGGCATTGATTGAGTCTACAGGGAGTGTTGATTTGGAAATAGCTGCCTCCATTATAGAAGAACGCTTGGGTTGGAACCTCCTAACATTTTGTGGAATCTCCCGATGTCTTGTGATTGGACCAAATCCTCACAGCTGTTTTGTGATTGGCCCTCTGTTGTGGTTTCCCCATCCGTTCTCAAAATCCCAAAAATACCTATGTATTCAACAAAGTTTTGCTCTCTCTAAGCTGTGGAGTCTTGTGAGCAAAAATTCTACTTTGTGAGCTACTGGCAATAAAGTTGTGAGTGAGTGTTTTGGCTGCTGCATAAATTAATTTGCTCTGGAGCCATCCTTCCTGAGCGAAGACAAAAATGTGTGAGCCAGGGGCTAAAAAAGTGTGAGCTGGCTCACACTAATTCAGCTCAGAGGGAACACTGTTTGGGAATCCTGTTTAATCTATGCCCTCAAATGGAGGACGTGATAGAAGCTAACAGGGAGCATCCAAAAGCAGTAGAGAACCAATATTGTGGATGTATCATAGGAAAATCACATGCCAAGAAAGATCAATAAAGAAGTGTTAGATATTGGACATACTCATGAGAGAGGCTTCAAAGTTACCAAAGGAGAGACTGGGATTTGCATGTATGGAGCTCCCATTCTTTTTCTTTTAGTTTAGTTAATATGGCTTCCACACTGTGGATCAAGACCATCTCTCCCTGTGCCATGGTCTTCGTCCAAATTGTAGTGGGGACTTGTGACCTGTTCTGCCTATTTTAAAGGGGGGAAAGTGGGGAGCTCCATACATGCAGCTCCCAGCCTCCCCTCTACTTGGCTTTTAGTATGTGTGGCTTTTTCAAAGACAAAATAGACAATATAGTGGGACTATCAGAAACCAGGTGGAACAGTGATAATCAGCGAGGACACAATTATTCCCTGGGTATGAAATCTTAGGAAGTGGCAGGGAAGGAAATAATCAGGATGGTGTTGATTTGTTTGTCAGAGAGGGCATTAGTCCAGTAAATTCAAAAAACTTTTTACAAACTACTGTTTACCCCACCACCAAAACTCTGTTATACAGATCACAGTATGCTGCCATTCATAAGAACATAAGAGATGCCAATGTTGGATCAGGCCAAAGGCCCATCCAGTCCAACACTCTGTGTCACACAGTGGCCAGAAATACCAGATGCCATCAGGAGGTCCACCAGTGGGGCCAGGACATTAGAAGCCCTCCCACTGTTGACACCCCCCAAAACAACAAGAAGACAGAGCATCACTTGCCCCAGAGCCCCTATCTATACCTTGTGGCTAATAGCCACTGATGGACCTCTGCTCCATATGCTTATCTAATTCCCTTTTGAAGTTGTCCATGCTTGTAGCCGCCACCACCTCCTGTGGCAGTGAATTCCAAGTGTTAATCACTCTTTGGGTGAAGAAGTACTTCCTTTTATCCGTTCTAACCCGACTGCTCAGCAATTTCATGGAGTGCCCACGAGTTCTTGTATTGTGAGAAAGGGAGAAAAGTACTTATTTCTCTACCTGCTCTATCCCATGCATAATCTTATAAACCTCAGTCATGTCACCCCTCAGCCGTCCTTTCTCCAAGCTAAAGACCCCCAAAGCGCTCAAGCCCCAAGGACTCATCCTTGCCACTCCACTTAAAAAATGGGGCATGGTGGGCTTGACGAGAACTCCACTAGCTGTGTACTGCTCAGCTCTACAACACCAGTGCTGAAGGAAAAAAAGTTAGTGGCCTACAAAAGGTGTCAGCATGAAGGTGGGGAGAATCTCATCAGCTGTTGCTCAGAGGTGAGATCCAGTAAGTGCCCCAGACCGCCATGCAGCCATGTTCCACGCAACAGCACCAACGGCAACGACTGTACAAGGTGGGGGAAAGAACAGTGTTTTGCCTAGAACAGAATATTCTTCATCCAGTTGTGTGAGAGGATGCTATCCGGGGAGCAGAAGCAGTCAAAAGGAAGGCTGGTGGGCTGCATGCAAGAAACAAGGAGCTGTCCTAGTTGTAAGAAAGGCCCAAAGGCATTTGAAGGGCCTGGCCACTCTCACAAAAGGCTGCTCAAGCATAGGTGGTTCTCCTCACATAGGTGTTTCTGCAGCAGAACGGGAAAGAATGCTTTGCAACAAAGGGGAAAGGTCTGGGGTCTATATTGCAGGGCTGATGTTACCATTAAGTAGCATGAAGGAGCTTGCCTTGGATGGCACCTAGTAGGGTGTCACTGGAAGGCACAAAGCTGTAAAATCCTTTAGTTTTTGGATTCTGTTTTACCACTCTAAGGGTGCCAGCTGGATTTTCTGGGTCAGGCACCAAAGTGTGTTCTGCTGGCTCCCTTGTGGTGGTGGTTCACCAGCGCTTTCCATTCACAATCAAAATGTACAGCTGAGTCGGTCTATCAAAGTGAAAAAGTCAGCAGAATCTTGTGGTGCCTTTAGCTGCAAGATTCCTGTCCCTGTTCGTTCGTGATCCAGGGGGGCTTTATACTGAGCTGTCGTCCCGTCCCCCCCACCGGCTTTCTCCCTTTACTAAAGATCAGCTCTCCTCACCTTTCAGAAGAGCCTCCACGTAAAACCATTCAGTGCCGTTCTGGAGGAGTTCCTTGCTTGGCCTGCCTTGTTCTGGAGGCTTGAATGCAGAAACTTTTAACTGCACTCAGATGGGAGGCTTGAATGCAGAAACTTTTAACTGCTGTGACGTGGATGCTTGAGTTGTACCCAGGTGGTTAGTTCTATCTGGGCTACTTCCACACTAAGGATTTCCCATGTTTCAGCCACCCAAATGGTGTGCTTTTCATGTTTCTGCATGAGGTTGTGCTCCATTTGCACTCAGATGGTTACAAGCCCATTCCTTCAACAGACACACACACACACAAAATCTGCTTTATTTTACACTTGTAAACACCTGGTGTTTCCTGGGCAAGATGCTCTCAGCACAAGCAGTTTCTTATGTCTGAAAGGGAAGGAGCATCAATGGTGATAGATCAAGATGGGTAGCCGTGTTAGTCTGTCTGTAGCATTAGAAAAGAGCAAGAGTCCAGTAGCACCCTAAAGACTAACAAAATATATGGCAGGGTATCAGCTTTCGTGAGTCACTGCTTTGCTTCTTCAGATAACTGAAAGCTCATACCCTGCCACAAGTTTTGTTAGTCTTTGAGGTGGTACTGGACTCTTCTCTGCAGCATTAATGGTGTTACATTCATTTTCCGGGACCAGTCCCCTGCAGAAATTAACATAACAGAAGAGAACTGAGTCTTTTAAACAGAGAGGATCATTGGAGGAGGATTTGGGCGTTTTTTTTTTAAAAGGTTGTTAAAGCTATTGCGTTATTCCTGTGCAGCGTTACTCATGATCCTGTTGGGGGAAAAAAGAAGAGAATCACCCACAGCTCAACCTTATTTTTAGGGTGGGAGGAGGGAACGCTTGAAGACGTCTGCAAATACATGGAATGT